CAATGAATAGCTTATTTATAACTATATATATTGATCTTCCTCACGAAATTAGGTTAATTTCAGACAATAGTGTATATCTAATTCCTCAGAGCTTAAAGTCAGATCTTGATCAATATCTTGACATTATAATTATTATATATGAACATAATTTATATGGGTTGATTATATAGTTATGATCAGTAAATATTACAACACTACATACTGTCTCCTTTTTGACAAAAATCATTTAAGTATCAACAGTCCTACTGATAAAATATTACTTACTTACGCTTGTTACCCGGAATGGAGCATGAGCCGCTGATCAGCATTTGCCAGCTTACTCTTTCATGGGCCTTCCTTTCTATTTATACCCAATTTCTGTGCATTCTTTTCATATCTGCTTACGATTCTCGGTGTAGTATGTTCTTTTAACTACCTCTTTTCCTTTGGTCTTGAGGATTTCAGGTTGAAGATTACCTCGTGAAGCAGTGAGGTGATTTCTGCAATAGGTATCCTATCCACCTCTAACGCTCCTTAATAGTTTCTTACTCAGATGAAATCTGGTTTGTTGTCCCCCACAGTAGAGTAATGCCGATGGTGTCTGACCGAAGAATCCTTCGTAACTTGCGTAGACAACTGTTAATAAACTCTTGTATCCATTGCTTAATAAGTTTTATGGTTCTCCAAGTTTCTTCTCTATATAGAACTGTCTTGTCGTTTGTATTGAAAATTGTGACTTTGGTTTTGGTTTTACTAATCTATCTCTTCGAATTGACATCATATCCATCTTTTTTAATCAGTGATGCTGCGCAGATATTGTAGGGCTTTCACAACTTCCAAAGTTTGCTCATCTTGTGTGATTTGGTTGGTGCATGCTGTGCTATATCGAGAGATTTTGGTTTTTCCTTTATATAAGTCAAAATCTACTGCTACTACACTAACCGTCTTCTCCTGTAACTGTTGTTGTGTGTGGTATATAGGGGCCAGATCATCTGCAAATTCCTGATCGTTCAGTTGCATCTGAGCTGTCCATTGTATTACGTGCTCCCCTCCAGATGTTGACATCTGCATAATCCAGTCAACTACCAGAAGAAGTAATAGAAATGTTGAGAGTAGGAAACCTAGTATGACACCAGTTTTCACTTAGAATGTGTCTGCAAGATGTCCTTTATGCACGAGTTTGCAGTTTAATCCATCATAAGAATTCTGAATGATATTGACTATCTTCTCAGGCACACCATAGCATCGAAGAAGCTTCCATAGTGTCATCCTGTCCATACTATCAAATACTTTCTCGCAGTTGACTTATAGTGATAAACTCCATTTATTTGAATGTTCTACATTCATTAACATGAAACTATAATTAGGCAGTATAGATAAAAAGCTTTTTCATTGGAAATCGATTTTTCTTTCGCTTTAAGTGAAGATTTCATATTTCATCTTATTGTCAATATAAAATTTTCGCGAAATTTCTTTATTCAATTCTATGATGTGGTCATCTTAGAGCTTTTCACAATGAAAATGTTTCATAAATGTGACCAACGATAGTGACGTTTATCCGGTTAGCCGAAAAATGACAACACATTCAGAGTCATACCTTCAATGAACGAAGATATCACTGATTGCGATGCTTTTAGATAACACGATAATGTGGAGTTTATCCCCATTCGTCCCCTTTAAGTACAGATTTAGAATACAGTTTAAACTAATTTAATCATTTACAAAATAATTAAAATCCATAATATCAATCAATACCTACAAGAAACATCAGTTCTCTAACGATAACAGATACACCAGAATGTTGATTTGTGTTAGCCAGTATGAAACTCATGTAAATCGACGTTTCCTGTTCACTACCTCTCATCACTTAACATGTTTCCCTTTATAAATGGTGTTATCCAGCCACAAGAATGTAACTCAGATAATATTGTCTTCTTCACTATTCTAATTTGTAAATCATTCACTAGTCCTAACAGAATTCAAGTTTTCATTATAATGTTGTGAAGATTGTTCAGTTTCACCAAAATCACGAATCAATCAATGTTAGACCGCCATTAAAAACAAACCTGTAATCACTGGGCAGCTATTTCATTCTAGTATGAAACTCATCAGGAGTAGTGAGCATCTACGATAGAATTCAAGTGGTGATGTGACCACCAGGCTAACTGACTCACTACCATGAACATTACGCTTTGATAGTCACCGGTTGAAAGTTGTCAATAAGAAATCATGAATAATCAAAGTTATATGTTAATCTATTCGCATTAGGAATATGTGCCTAAAATCTAGAGAGAATTAATAATTCCTATGAGATCTTGTTATTAATTTATACTTCAGTGTACAGGGTTTTCCCACTGTTCAGAATGTTATTATAATATGTATATATACATATATATATATATATATATATATATATATATATATATATATATATATATATATATATATATATATATATATATATATATATATATATATATATATATATATATATATATATATAATGTCTTCAGAGAATCTTTAGTATTTAGTCTTCAGTTACTGCTGGTGTATGGTCATCATATTCAAACACAATTTCTAAACTTATTTTGAACATTGAAATCATGAACTAATGAATGTTAGACCAATATTGGAAACCTGAAAGCACTGGAAGGTCGTTTCATCCTAGTATGGGTCTCATCAGTAATTTGCATCCATTACTCTACTCTACTCTACCCAATCAATCAACAGCAACGTAGAACTTCCTACTTACGTACATCAATTCAGGTTTCCATACCACATTAGCATAGAGACGGTATTGTCGATTCAAATCCCATAGTAGTAGAGATAGTAAAATTATTAGCAGTAATAGAAGAGATTAGGGTTCGACGATATTATTCAAGAAGTAAGATCTAGTGAAATAAACTTAAAAAGATAAAATGATGAGGATTAAGAAGTTTAGGATTTGAGAAAACACAAAGCATGAATGTATGAATTTCATTCATGGTCTCGATTATTATCATCTCCCAGGCCCCGACTAGGTGGTCGACACTCACCAATATGACTAAATCCAGTTTTCAGTTAATTCATGGATTTCTGCCATGCTTTGGTTTGGCTGCACCTAACTTCCTTCCAACCTATTCCTATGTGGCAAAACATAGCTAGATGGGGCAATTGGTGGGACATTAGTCTCAAGTACAAATGCTTAACATCTTCTACACCATTGAACTGGTATCCAAAGGTGTTATTGTCTAACTTGGATCAATCCAAGATATCGTACAGACATCATCTATTCAGTAAATAAATAAATTAACTATGATATTCTCTATTTTTGTTTATATACGACACACATCAGTTAGTTGACTGATTTTTAAATAATACTTACCTAGTTACTGACTTACTTACATACAATTATCTGTAGTCATCATGTAAACATGAAAAAGAATTATTGCACACTTATAATTTACTAGAAATAATTAATTTTCACTGTCATATTTAGATTACAAATCATTAATTGGCGTTTTTACAAATAAATGTATAGAAATAAATTGAAAATTGAATAACTACTCTATTTATCATTTTTAAATGGTACTTTATTATTAATATTTTTGCAAAAAAAAACTTACTAATGTTCAATTCTTGACTGCTAACAATAATGATAACTATGATAATAGTAATAATAAATAATAGTAATAACTGTAATAAAAACAATGATAGTAACAGTTATAACAATAGTAATCTTAATAATAATAATAATAGTTTTATGCATACAATGATATTTAAAAATTGTATTCTATGGAATAGATTTTTGTTAAAATCAACATTTTCAATTGATTGTAACATGATGAAAGGTCACTCACTGGTTACTTCAGGTGTGCTATCATTAAGGTTGTTGTTTTTTGTTTGAAAACACATCAAATATTGAACATTGAATGTATAGTTTAAAATATTCTTTGCTCAGTTAATTTTTTGTCAAATGAGCGGACAAAGAAGAGAATCTGTCAACAAGTGTAGTGGTTCAGTTGTAATTTAATGCAATTAGACAAAGACGTTAAAGACCAAAAGGGAATAAGTGATTTATTTTAAACAGTTTTTACAAAGTAAGCAGATTGTTGGCTCTCTTCTTTCACGTCTTCTGGTCTTCTGCTCTGATATATCCAAATCCAACACATAATAATAATAATTTAATAATTTGATTTAAATAAAATAGTACACATTTTAAACGAAACTGCTTCTGCTCAATATTTCATATGTCTATTATTTTGAAGTGTTGATGTTCTTTAAAATATTATTTTAAACAACTTAGAAAAAGCTTTGTAACATTTGAAGATATTTTACTGAACTTCTTTACTATATGATGTTAGTCTGAATATTTAAGCATTGTATGCGCTCAATGAATATATGATATTTACATTGTCAGACCGAACCTAGAAGTACTGGAGAGCCGTTTCGTCCTGTTACGGGGCTCATCATCAGTGTGCACTCACAACTTCTGCTATTCACTGTATTTGAACTGAGGACCTTCGGTCTTGTGCGCATTTGAGTCCCATACCAAGAAGAAACTGCCATTCGGTGCTTCTGGGTTTATAATCATGATCTAAAAATGATTCATCCATGATTTTAATATGCAAAAACAAAGAACTATATAATACTTTAATTCAAAATCAAAAATTGTGCTCACCGGTGACCTAGCTTCGTGAGGGAATTCCCATAGTTCTCGTAAGAAGACGTGACGAGGAGAGTTCCAACCCAGTCGAGTGTAGTCAATAACTACCAAAGACAATGGGTTAGGTTGCACAAAATATTTAGATTGATCAGAATTAGATATCAAGACTGTTGAATGCCGGTTCAGTGGTCCGGAGGTTAAGCAATCACGTACAAGAACGAAGGTCCTGAGTCGTGGATGCGCACTACTGTTGAGTCCCTATACCATGATGAAACGGTTGTACAGTGCGTATTCATGTTTCTAATGGTAGTGGTTTAACAATAATTCATCCATGATATCAATGACGATTGTTTCTTTTTAAAACTTATGTTTTCAGAAAATTCTCCAAATTCTACTACTAAAAATCCTAAACAACAATTTAAAGGCAAAACAAACACTGAAACAAAATTCAACGTTGATGAAACGCTGTACACAGGTAAAGCACAATTTCCACCTTATCCAGTCAATTCACAAATTCTTCTTGGTTCACTGAAACCATCATCATCGTTAACACCTCTACAATCATCTTATCCAATCACTGGAATTGTTGCCCAATCGTCGAATGCACGTAATCCAACTCAGCCACCATTTCCTTCAATACAAAATAAAGCATCCTTCAAAGTAATAACTGTTTTTTTAAAAAATAGTTTAAATCTTGAATTGAGTGGTTCTAGAATATCTATTGAACTCATGGAAGCACTAAACGGTTGTTTCGGCCTATTCTGGGAATTCCTAGTGTCAGTGAACATTTATGACTCCGTATCTGGCAATCGAATCCAAAATATTCGGTCTTGCAAGCTAACACATAACCTCTAGATCACTTAGACGGCATCGGTTAGCGTTAGACATTAACATCAAGGGGTGATATCTGAGTTAAATATCCGTTTATAAGACCAAATACCCTGGGTTCGATTTCCTGTGATCGAGCTGTGGATACGCACTACCGAGGACTCCCATGCTAGGATGAAACAGTTGTCCAGTGTTCCCAGGATCTCAATCGTAGTCAGGCTGATGTCAGCTCATGATTTAAACTATGATAATTTTTCTTAAGTTATTATCTTGAATGCATTGAACTATGGAACTAGATATAATATTGATAACTTAAAAGGAATACACATTCTTGTATATCATAGATAGCCAAATAGTGAGTACTAAGTATCTATTTCATCCATGTAAGGGATAAATCTTATATTGATCGATCAAATTGCATTATGATCGTCAGCTGAAGTAATTCAACATCTTCTGAACTATGGTGAGATGTTGGGTGGTTGGAAATAGTCAGAAAATCCGTCACGGTTCATGTAGCTCCGCGTTAAAATCTCAAATCTTTAGGCTGAATGATACGAATAGCATCGATTGTCTAAAGAGTCAAGATACATCTCACACTTCGCCTCTAATTCCATTGGTGCTTCGTTGCCTCATAACCGACATGACTGAACATCATTTACAAATGAATCAATAGGTTGTAGGTATCTAAAGTTGTCAGAGATCAATAACTACTATTATTCTTAACGGATTCGTTAGTAAAAATTACCTCAAGATCGGTAATAATGGTTTTCAGTTCAGTGGTGACAATTTACTAACCGTTTAGGGTTTACATCTTGTTCATCTAAGATAAGCATAATCATACTAGACTTTTTTTAGAAAGAAATTGATCTATTTATGAGTAGCATAATTATTATGCCTTTAATTTTTTTCAGAAATAATACCTGAGGATTAATTGTCAACTGCCGTTTACACCATATACAATTACTAATAAACAAATTTGTTCAGATATTTTTCCTAATGGAAATATTGGAAATAATTTTGATAGCATGAAAACGAAAGATTTTTAAAACGTTAATTTTACATCTGTACTGTACTTCTTGAATAAAAATTCTCTATGTTCAGAGAGATTTCAGTTCTTCCTTATTACTTTGTGCTGTACTGTTCAAAGTTATATCGTTTAAAATATTTCTATTCATTTAAGTCAAATATATTTTAATGAATTATGTCTTTCATAAATTATGTATACTACTCTTTATTTTTCAGTAGTTTATTAATATTATCGGAAAAATAATAATAAAATAGTTGTTATATGGGGACCCAACTTGTGAGTTACTTATCTACATAGAAAATTGGTTCGTTTTATATGATTTAAAAATCTAATGTGTTGGTTTCTGCTCACCTTCATGTAAAATTATTATATGTAGTTTTGTGAAATTGAATGTAACACCTTTTACTGAATAAACTGTTGTGTTATGCAATCGTCCGAGTTTGCTATCGACATATGAACTTCCTATAAGCAAGCACAATCAGTTACATGAGTAAGTAAACCGACTGAAGATTACATGCATAGCTCATTCGTAGCTGTACGTATAGATTAAACAATGCTTCCGACCAAGAGGATTTGTCAGTTTCCGTAGAAACATTTTGACTTATAGCGTATACCCGTCAGCATCTTTCACTTATCACTTAAATGATATCTGTTTGGTTCAGCTCAACATAAATCTATCGATTTTATGAATCGTAATAAACGTTTTGTTAGTGCGCTTATTCGGTTTCAGGTGATGTGTCACGTTTGTTTTAACTTATTAGGTTTTTACAAAATCGAAGTTAATCTTCATTGATTTTCATGGATAACTAGTTTCAGAATCGATAGCCCTGATAAGTTCCTTCTATGATCAGAAAAGTTATATGAAAAATTATTGACTATACGTGTAGCTATGTAAAATTATTCTGTTTATTTTAAAACTGCCGTATAATCGTTTTGTTACCCAGTCGTATGGTTATTATTTGGGACTGGGAACTGCTACCATTCACATGAAGTAAGAAAATACCTAAGATTGATTCGAATGAAAATTTATTAACCCTTCATAAACATCATGCCATCGCTACTGTAACCGTGAGTATATCTTGGTACTTCAAAAGCTAAACCGTTGACATAACTGGCGACATGAATAAGAACGTGAAAACGATGGATGATAATTTGTATAGCCGCCATAATAACTGAAAATAACTATCTGAATATATTTATATTATGTGTTCACCATATCAGTAGTGTATTTATATACTCAGCTAGCATTTTACAACATCAACTTCAGTACATTAAACAAGGCTACCTTTTCCCGCTTCCTTCAGTCTCTGTATAGTAAATTTCTTGATCAAGACCCCAGAAGCATTTATTGATTTTGTTCGGGACGTTAGATACTCAGAACTCACTTGATTAAGGTCCTAAAAATGGATTTTGTGGTTTGGCGCATGGGCTGATCAGTTGACCTTGAGATTACATTTCTCATTCTCAGAATCCTTGACTGTCATTGGTTGACGGATTGTTTTAGTACGCTACTGTTGTAGTTCTCCCAAGGACGCTTCTACCATGCATAAATAAACTCGATTTGTATGTTTGTGGACCTCATATCTACTGGGTGCTTGTAGAATACACTTTCTACGCCATATCATGACTTCTCCCTCTACTTAGTGGGGCGTTGGTACGTTCGGATTAGAGTAGCCCATCGTGTCACTGGATCATTTGTCTTCGCTCTCGTTTACCGACTAAGGTGAACTCGTAATAGTTTCAAGAATATCAATTGACGAGCATAAGAGATTTTTGTTCGTGGTAATTAAATTATACGTTGATGATACAACGAATTTTACTCACACAATGTATTCAATTGATATGTAAATTGTATTAGGAAGTATAGTTGTGTCTGACGAACTATTTTAAGAAGATACAGATTACTAACAAAATGCGTATACCTTATCGCTAGACTTCCATTTGAAAAACAAGGAGACTATCAGCTATCTTTTCTTCCACATGTTCTAGTCATCAAAACACTGTGATCGTGTCACAGATTCGTATCTGATACTCTACACTTCAACAGTAATTCCTAGGTGATACTTTGCTGCAAACTATTAATAAGTCAATTAGTGAGTAGTATCCACCGCACCAGAAACTGTAAATCGAATAAAACAAGTAAGAACACGAATTTGATGAATATACATTTATTAAGAACCAATAATTGATCAAAATGAATATCTGAATACATTATTTTTCGTATGATTTATGTATCATCCGACTGAACTAACTAGTATTGATCTAATTTCTATTTAATTGATGAATAATTCACATTACTTACAAACGGACTTAAAGTCACACTATAAATATCATCATGATAAACAAATTGTTTCACATCATAACCAAAGTTGTTTAATTTGAAACGATGTAAGAAACAATAAGAGGAAACAACATACCTAATATTATAGTAAAGAGTGATTAGTATTTCATACGTTGAAGATAGAGTCTAAAAAATAGAAAACTGTTTACACACGTGATTACTAGACATTGAATGGATAGTGGATACAATCTAGACAGGAAAAATGCCTTTCAAATGATTAGCAACCAGTGAAAACCGCTTTTACTGGGTTTCACAGTGACATTTGCGATCAAGCTCTTTCATTTTGATCTTGGTACGCAGAAAAGAAGTACTATCAACCTTTTATTGAAATCACTGTTATACGAAAGTTTAAACCCCCTTTATGTAATCAAAAACACTATGTTTATACTCTAAACCTACCTTAATAATATTGTGTTCATATCCAAGGTGATGAGTTTCACAATGTGTTTTTTTCAAATTAATGTTCTTTTCTCAATCTTACACTTCATGTGTTTAGCTGACCTTTTGTTTTTTTATACATAAATGTTAATGACAGGTATTTTTGTGACCTGATGGTTCGAAATGTATTACGTTGAAATCTATCATATAGTTCTGACAATCTTCGTCTTTGCATTACAGTATTCAAATACAAAACATTTATATCATTACATTTTGTCTTAGCTGTAAATTATCATTTAAAAATCTGAATAAAAATTTCACTGACATTCACTTAAGACTTTAATTTGAATTTTATATTGACTAGGTATATTGAATTCTCATCTATTGCTGCGAGCGGGGGTCGTGGATGTGCGCTGGTGATGAGTCTCATACTAGGACGAAACAGCCTTCTAGTGCTTCCGGTTTTCTAATAGTGATTTGACAATGATTGACTCATTATTCCGATGAAACTCAACAATCGTCACAAATCTATAGTTAATAATATCCATTTCATCTCTTTAGTGTTTTTTATGTCCTTGGGAAACAAATTTCATTGGTTATGGTGTGCAAAACTTTATTGATTATTTTATTTGTGTTATTCAATATTGAGTGAGATGAGTCAGAATTAAATTAGTACACCTTGAGAATATCTACCAATTCATTAAAACTCTATTCAGTTGAAGTTTGAATTTCACAGCAATAGAATATTGATTATGATTACACTATGATGTTTACAAAATATTTACCAATATGTTCAGTATGATGAAAATTGAAAGTTATTATTAAAAGTCGATTGAGATTACTGTGAAACAATCATAATAAATCAACCATTATTAAATAGTCAAAAAGAAAGTCTGTACATGAATTCTTTTTCGTGACTAGTTTAAGAATCAATCTATTCATTTGTCCTACTCTGATGCTAAGTGAGAAAGAAAATCAACAGTATGAAGGAAGATTTATTGACTGAAATTAAGTTGAAAATAAATTCACTTTAATCTGTATGTTGATCATTTTTTCTTGAGGAAACAAAGCCACATTGTCAACTAATAGTGTTTCTTTCTTTGACCGGTGGTGATCCATCTACTGACCTATATTTGATTGGCGAAACATAGTAAATATTTTAAGTAAAACCAACTAACTTACTAAAAATCTTCATTCATAGACTTTGATTAGTTTATGAAACCTTTTCAAGAAGTTTATTGGTCCATCTATGGTTTAGATTATTCATCGAGGAAGAAATCAGGAAGAAGCGCTGGAAGTGGATAGTACACATATTGAGAAAAGCACCCGAGTACGTCACTTGGAAGTTTCAAGGTCAAAGGAAAAGGAGGAGAAAAAAGAACAGACGTGAGACAGACATGAGAAGAATGAACAGCAATTGGACAAAACTGGAAAGGGAAGCACAGGATAGAGTAGGCTGGAGAATGCTGGTCGTCGACCTGAGCCCCATTGAGGGTAACAGGCTGGGTGGCCTATGCTTGGACAAATAATGTTTGTCTTGTGGCGTTAGACTTTCGTTATCTTCGATTTCCCGTATATCTCCGTCTTGATGATCGCTACAAGAGAACGCGACTCGTTGCCACAATTTCTTTATTATTCAAATTATGATCGATGCAAATATCGAATTTAATTCAAATATGTATAGTCGATACTGACATCGAATTATTTAAACTGTTAATCGATACAGCTAGTCAAGTAACTATTTGTGTAGGTGGCAAGTAATGCCCAAATGTACATGTTCATACAAGCTTAACAATGATAAAAGTACAAGATATATGTGAGGTGCTACAGTCTCTCACTTATGGAAACCAGTTCCATACACTAACGATTCTATGAGAAAGTCAATAGTTTTCTGACAAGTAGTTTGCTTTGAGCTTGTGAACTTTTTTAGTGTGTTCCCGTAAAATCTCTGTAACGGAAGGCTCAAAGAAGAGAGCAGGTCAGATGTAAATTCATCGTTACTTAACTTAAAAACTTTGATTAGGTCACCTCTGGTCCTTCTTTGTAACAAGAGAAATTGATTTAATCTAGCCAATCTATCTTCAAATAGTAGCTTTGAGATCCCAGGAATCAGCTTAGTTGCTTTTTGCTGAACCCGACAGCTCACTGTCATTTTTTAGTCAGATGCTAGTTGTTTAACTGCAATAATGAAGTTTAGAACGAACGAAAACTGTTTATAAAGTCGAAAAATTTTCATACATATTGGCCATAGGGTTCTAAAAACGTTGACGGCTAAAAAATATGTTTGTCCCAATAACCTTGGTAGTCGATGGTCTATAACTTGTTCACTTACATCTATTAAGTGTGATTTTGTGATAGGCACTTAAATTACTCACTTTGCGATCGTACTATACAAAAGATATGATCCAGCTATTTTTGAATATTTGTAGCATTCCATTTTTAACTACTATGATTAAAAGTAGTACTAATGCTCCTCATATTTTCATTCGAATAGATTTCTTCGAGTGTATATCTTTGCGAAAAGCGGAAATCCTGTTAATGTTTTACTTGCCATGGTTAGTGTAACAGCCACGCAATGGAGTTGATTCTCTAAACTTGTCCATTTTCTACTTCTTAGTTCCTCACCCCTAAAATTATTTCGGTGTACCAATACACAAAGAACAAGATAATTGCAAAAGGCATTAGAGTAGCCTATTTGCACATCACTAAACGTATGCATAGAATAGATGGAATGGAATTCAAGACGTGAGTTTCATCCTACTTGGGATTCAGTAGATCGATGTATACCACCACATTCCACAGTTGATGTTTACTCCAGAACAAGAACCTAGTACCGTTTGCTTCAAACGCCATCTCGTTCTCTTTTTAGTTACTCTGTTCATATAGTTACCAACCTGTACAACGGATATGAAATTTAATTCAATTTGAAATAGTTTGGATTATCAACTCTTAGTTGTGTCTCAAACTGATGGGTTCAAAATGGGATGTAACGCACGTCCTTGATTTCACTACCATCAACATTTCATCTATTCTATGTAAAATTGTGTCATATTGGTTATATTGAAGTAACTCGCTCATGATACCCATATACCAGGCAAGACTGATCGAATTTCAGTGAAAAATATTAATAACATTATAATACAGATCATTTCAAATTAAATCACTGAGTGTATCATTAAATTTTCAACGACTTCATTCGCTCCCTGAGATTACTGGTTTGTTTAAGCCTAGGTTTAAAACTCGTTTTGTTCACATGGGTATAGAATTACAGATCTTGATTACACCACGTGTTGGCCTTTTGTTATTACAAATTCAATTTTCATTGATATAACGCTATTTAGCTTAAGAAATATACGCAGGTATAGAGTTATTGTACATTTGTTTTGCATTTAAAGTCAAATGTTCATAGGACGAACAAAACAGTAACTTAAACTAGTCCTGTGTAACGAAAGCTTCTCTACTACTTTTCGCTTATCTGACTATTGACTAATTAAAGTTTTCTTTTTCCAAATCATAATCACACTGCACTTCAAAAATTTTCTAGTCTGTCTAACAAAAAAAAGCAGAAACAAAAATTACTTAATTTTGATTGGTTCAATAAAACTGATCAATGGGATTATCTTAAACAAACACACAAATTCTACATCGAATGACCTAAAATATCGATTTCCATCTACCCATATTTTGTATTGATGAATAATACTGGTTGAGATAAACAATGAATATTGGACAATGCCAAGAAATACAAAACAACCTCATTTCGCCAAACTGTTGAATATCAGACAAGGTCTTCAAAAAAAGTTCATGACCAATTCAACTAAAGCTTAGTCACAGCTTATATATATATATCGATTAATTTAATTTAACTACAAGATGGTAAGTAATTAGTGTAGTAAACAAATAATTAGTATAGTCTAAATAATATCCGTTTTCTCATGAATACATTAAACATAGAAAAAGAATACAATTAGGATGCATAGATAGATAAGTTGATAAGAGTTTAAATTTGACTAATAAATAGTAAAACGAAATGATAAACACTTTGAAAAGAGAAAAAAAATCAAAAAACAATACACTACACTTAAACATTGTCATATGACACTTGAGTTTATATATATTACCAATGTGATTAATAATGGTAGTGTATACATTCACGTGTTTGTTTGTGTTTGTATATATGTGACTATTTTAAAATGTTAATTAGTAACGTGGTTAGAGCTTCTTTTTTTTAAAAAAAAACGAGTAATAATAGTAGTAGTAATAAGACATTGTTGTAGCATTATTGTATTTCTTCTGTGAACAAATTTCTATATATATATATATATATATATATATATATATATATTGACAAATGTATACACGGTAATTAAAACTCTACATCTTCATCACAAACATACACTGTATATATTATTTATGCACTATCTATCTCTCTCTCTCTCTCAGTCACACGTACGCACAAACAAATGTATTAAGAACAATATTTGGAGCAATAGTTATTGAACAACATCCACTGTACTCATTTGACAATGTCATTACAAATTGAATAACTGGAATAATACAATTGAGTAATATTATTATTCTCATTATTATTACTGCTATCATTATTACTCAATATTAATTATTTCATCTCTCTTTATATCATTGTCATTATCGACTATTTATTAATTGTATGGGGTCAAGAACAATTGCATTGATTGTTTGTCTACCATTACTATTGATAGTTGTAGCATTGGCAATTGTAATCTTCTGTTGTCTTCGATCAAAAAAACGTGCTAGTAAGTTTTTTTTTTTGAAAAATAATAATGATGATTTAACTTGAGTGTTTGATGATTTTATTTTATTTTTTGTTAATTTATCCTAAATATTAGTGTAGTTCACAACTCAATGCTGAATAGATTGTTCGATAAAAAGTTGCTTAAATCTGATTTGCTTTTTTCAATGTATAAAGTCGATAAACATGTCAGTTACGCAATCGCACAGGGAATTTATTATCGGATGAAGATCAAATTAAAAGACGCACATATTAGTAATGTATACTGTATATCTGAAATGTTGATGATATAACTGAATGTACTTGATGTTCTTCAAGATATAATGAACGATGTTTTTGAAGAGGTCTACCAATGTCACCAGTACATAACAACCTAATCAATAAATAAATATGATGCATACCAATAATATGGTTTCGATTAAACAACTATCTTCAACGTAACAAACTTTGTTGCAGTGAAATGAACTAAAATCATATAAGTGATATTATGCATCAAACTTGAGTTAATTTTTATGATCGATGAACTTAGTGTGAATGTGAATAAATTTATATTAGTCATGTAGAAAATCCATATACTTTTCGAATTCTTTGTTCAAGGTTGTCAGTATTGTAAATTTTAGACTAGCTTAAAGTCTTGAGTTGACATTATCACAACAGGAAAATAAGGGTTGTAGCGTTTTTCACCAAAATTATTTGATCACCATTTTTCTTCCTCTTACGCCTATTTCCTCTAATGGAGCATAGGCCACCAACTAGCAAATTATTTATGCTAATTAGTGTTTTTTTAGCGAGTTAATATATATGAGATAGAATCTCTAACCCCATACCTAACCCTCCTCTTTTATCTGGGCTTGGAACCGACAGTAACCACAGAAGAGCTCCAAGCGGAGTTAGTTGGTCGCCATGGCTGGTATTTTATACAGTTAATCTGATACTTTAGTCAATAGTTCATATATTCAAGTAGCAACGAGTAATTTGTTTATGAGTGTCTTCAGTCGGTTGGATGGCCTATGTGACTTAACATTTTTCGGCCGATTTCAGTATCATTTGCTTCAAACTCTACCGCAAAATCCACTTCGCTCCTTAGTTCAATTAGCCACTGGATTGTGTAATGGACTAAAGTTTAATTCATTTGTGTAAGTTATTTGAATTGCCTTGTTGATGTACACGACGTCATTGATCAGTCTCAACAAAACAGATCAAGTAGTATTTGTATTCAGTCAGTCAGTTACAACATAGAACTTCCTACCTAAGTACATCAGTTCAGGTTGCCATACCACATTAGCACAGAGACGCAATTGTCAATTCACATCCAATAGTGGCAGATATAGTAGAAGTATTACTGGTAATAGAGAAGATTAGGATTTGAAGATATTATTCAAGAAATATAATTCAGTGAGATAAACTTAGAAAGAGAAAGGTGGTGATGAAGTATTCAGAAGATTAGAATTTGAAAGAACACAAAGAGTAGATGCACCTCCGCCATTACAAACAATTTTGAGCCATGTTATTCATGGTCTCTAACCATTGGTTACTTTCGTCTCGCGAACCGCAACCAGGTAGCCTACATCTATCAACATGACTCAGTCCAATAGTCAGTGACTTTATGAATTTCTGCCATGTTTTGGTTTGGCTGTCACTAGCTTTCTTCTAACCTACTACTTCTATACCACAAAACATTGCTCGTTGAGGCAGTCGGTGGTTGGGCATACGTAACACATGTCCCCAGCACCTCAACTGATCACGTTTCATCACTTCATCCATTCATCTGCCATCCTTACGTAGTACTTGTTTCCTAACTATAGCATTGCTTACTCGGCTGTCCCAGGATACATGAGGAATGTTTCTAAGACATCTATGATCGAATACCAGTAACCTACGAATTTCTCTTACTCTGACTGGTCATGTTTCACAGCCATAAAGGTAGGACGGAAAGAACTACTGCTCAGTACACTCTTCCTTTAGCCAGCAAACGGATATCTCGCCTACGCCTTAGGTGACGCAAGTCGGCAAAAGCCAATCGAGCCTTCTGTATCCGTAGTATTATTTATATTCAACCATATAAATGAATCTGTTCAGAATTGAAGTTATAATTTTAAATTAAATTAAACTGATTATTTGATAAACTAGATGAAAATTTGTGGCAAATACATAGAACATACTATATTCTTATTTCATAATAATTTATAGTCGATATTATGTACAAAAAACGTTTTTTTTTTTTTTAAATATGATGGTTGTAAGTACACAATAGGAAACCTTTTATTGACCTATTTCTCATAATATTTGTCATTCATTGTCACAAAGCTATAATATAAACATTGCTAATAGAGAACTTATACTATATCTCCTCCATATGGGCTTGAAACAATTATATCATGTCGATTTCAATGAACATTGATGAAATAAGGTTTCCTGGTGATTTCCTCTAACCACCTTAATGTATATATATTTCTAATACAGTTTTTAATTAATACTATCATTTCCATGTTATTGAGATTTTAAAGGAAAAGCAATAATCATCACTTTTCGTGGTGTTTCGTTCTCTGAGCTGGATGTTTTGGTTGTTAACTTCTATCTGAAGTTTGTGTTGATGATGTTGTTCAGAAGAACAGCGATGTAAGCTCCAAAACCAAAACATCCAGCTCAGAGAACGAAACTCGAACACACAATCATCCACCTGAGCTACAAATTTTCTCCATCATCTCAATAATTACTTATTTAGTCATGAAATTATTAAAAGAGTTATGAAAAACTATTAATTTTGTATACTATACAATTGTTAATCGAATGGGTTATTTTCAAAACAAGAGTATTACTGCTTTTATTACAATCTTATTTCTATGACTTGCTTAATTACTTACTTACTTACTTACACCTGTTTCCTGTAATGAAGCATAGGCCTTTAACCAGTGTTCTCCAACTTAATCTATCTTGGGCCTTCTTTTACAGTTTTAGTTAATTTCTATTCATACTTCTGATGCCTCCTTCCAATTCTCGAAGTAATGAGTTCTTTGATCTTCCTCTATGAATTCTCATGAATTGAAAATTAACTGATTTATTATGAAACAATTCAACACAGTCGAAATCAAAATGTTTATAGACTAATAGCTCAAGTATTAACCATTTACATACTCTCTGATTTGTAATGAATCAAAATGAATATAGGCTTCCAATTCTCGATGTAATGTATTCTTTGATCCTCCCCTATGCATTTCTATAAATTGAAAGTTAATTGATATTATTTGAGATGATTCAACACTCAAAATCTAGGTATACAATTGTTTATAGTCTATGTATACTTTCATACCTAGAGACAAGTATTAACCAGTAAAATTTTATGGAGACAGAAGTAGTCTTCACTTCAGTTAGATTTGAATAAGAGTATACAGCAGAAAAATTTATATTATCGCCCACTTCATCCAATTATAAGTTTATGCACGTTGATTATCAGACAGGAGCATATCTGGAATTATAAACAACACTTTATCGATAATCATGGTATATGCTGAGAGAGAATAAAATAAGTATTCAACTGATAAATTCATTTAGTTTTGTATTATTTATAAAATTAATTATTGTTCTGGTAGTCAGAAGGAGCATCGGTCTCGATGAATCAGTGCGGCCTCTCATAGAATTGATCTTTACTGTCTTCATTTCTATCATTGGTGGACATTCGGCACTTAAGGGCAGTCATTGTAATCCCCTCCTTCCTTATCTTGGGAGTCTCATCAGTGCCGATGGCATGATGACTGACGAAATCTCTGCACGGATACAGAAAGCTCGATTGGCTTTTGCCAACCTACGTCACTTATGGCACAAGCGAGATATCCGTTTGCTGACTGAAGGAGGAGTATACTGCGCAGTGGTTCGCTCCGTCTTACTTTATGGCTGTGAAACATGACCAGTAAGAGTAGAAGATATTCGTAGGTTACTGGTTTTCGATCATAGGTGTCTTCGAAGCATTGCTCGTATATCGTGGGACACCCGAGTGAGCAACGCTGTTATTAGGAATCGGGTGCTAGGTAAGAATGGCATATCAATAGATGAAGTATTGAAACTTCACCAGTTGAGGTGGTTGGGACATGTGCTACGTATGCCTAACCACCGACTGCCTCGTCGAGCCTTGTTTTGTAGTGTAGGAATAGGTTGGAAGAAAGCTAGGGGCGGCCAAACCAAAACATGGCAGAAATCCATGAAGTCATTGACTAGTGGACTGAGCCATGTCGGTAATTGTCGACTACCTGGTTGGGGTCCGCGAGATGATAATAATCGATGGTTAGAGACCTTGAATGACATGGCTCAAAATCGTTAGCAATGGCGCCGGTGCATTTATTCTTTGTGTTCTCTCAAATGCTAATCTTCTGGATTCTTCAACCCCTCTAGTTTCGACTCTCTAAACTTTTCTCACTGAATCATACTTCTTGAATAGTATCTTCTAATCCTAACCTCTCCGATTACTTCTAATTTCCTTACTACCTCTTCTACTACTGGATTTGAATTGACGATTACCTCTCTGTGCTGATGTGGTATGGCAACATGAACTGATGTACTTATGTACAAAGTTCTTCGTTGCAACTGACTGACTGACTGACTGACTATCTTGAAGGATGCAGTCATAATCCTGGGTTCATGAGATTCTCATTCCACAAGTGCTTTTCGAGCTTCTTTGGACAGCATCAGTGCATTTCCTCGTATGTGAGGCATTTTCTTCTCCATGATCAGAGTATAACAGTATCTCTTCCAATCTTTTTTGTCCAGTCTGTGTCCATTGTATTTCACTAATTCCAAGTACCATCAAGTTGTATCTCTTCATTTTTACAGTAACTTGAATATCACCCATTATGTAAGGAAATTCCTTTTGCCTACTTTCTGAGAGTCAGAAAAAGTATTAGCATCATGACTTTAGTAGAACACTCGGCTTTCATCATAAGGCTTCATAACTCTTCTCAGTGAAGACTTTCTAACTCCCACGACAAAGTTTAAATGGTTTCAATTATTTGT